AGACTTAGTCTTTCATACTTTGGACATGTTGTCAGGAGGGACCGGTCCCTGGAGAAGGACATCATGCTGGGAAAGTGGAAGGTCAGCAAAAAAGAGGAAGACCCCCAACAAGATGGATTGGCACAGTGGCAGCAGCAATGGGCTCCAACTTGACATTGATTGTGAGGTTGGCAGAGGACCAGGAGTGCTTGTGCTTAAGGGTGCTATGAGTCAGAATCAACTCAACGGCACCTGACAACAACAACAGTCTGTATCGGTCAGGAAGCTGTGCTAAACCCTGTCCACCATGGGGGCCCTGCTGGTATCTGATTCCGTTACTTCCATAATCTCAGTAACACACAAGCCATCTCTAGGACAACCTGACAGACCATTGGTGGTATTAAGTGGTATTGACTCTGGATGCTGTTCTTCATTCAGACAGCTTGCTTCTCGGCGTCCTCAGAGAAGAGTCTCTCTCTGGTTCTTGGCTCCTTATGCTGGCCCAGCCTCTGCCCTACTCAGGCAAGTGTTAGCAAGCCCTTAAGCGCCACACATAAGCCAGGGGACACTCTACTCCAACAGCAAGCCTCCTGCCTAAAGGCCCTCAGCTCTCTCATTCCATGGGCCCTGGAGCCCACCATGCTGTCTTCTGCCAGTTTTCTGGATCTGCTGCTGTTTCTGGCCTTCTCTGGTGTTCCATCTCAGTCTGCTCAGTCCACAAGCTTCTTAGTTAAGGGATCCCGGGTCCAGCGGACATGCTCTGCTCCCATCACTTCATCTGGGTGGCAGTCTGGGCTCCCATCCAGCCACTTTGTTGCTGTTAAATGCTATTGAATAGGTTCTGACTCATAGTGACCCAGTATAGGGTTTCCAAGGAGTGGCTGATGAGTTTGAGCTGCTGACCCTGTGGTTCAAACTGACTTTGCAGTCCTGAGCTTGCCCTTCCTCTAGGCTTAAAATGAAGCTTATTCCTAGGGGACAGGCAAAACTGACCAATCCCCTTGTTATGGTTCCATGCAACTTATTTGTATGGTCCCACCCCCTCAAGTGTCACTCACTTTACTTACATTATTAGCAAGCTATCCAGTCGCATTGGTGGGCCATAAGCACCACATTTGCATAGTCCCACCCAGTCATTTGGTGGATAAGAAAGACCTTAGTAGAATTGATGCCTGCTGTATTTGGTCAGACATTTAATGAACTCACCCTTAATGTTATGGCAGGAATGGCGGTTGCCTTGACGGGGCCAGACCAAATGACTTTGCAGGCCTTGTACGGCCCTGCTCGAGAAAGTACACTCACAAGGGCATGGACTGTTGTCTGGTGTGCCCACTGCTGTATCCTGGTAAAGGAGCCCTGTGGCATGGTGCTTAAGGGACTTGGTTCCAAACAAGAGGTGAGCAGTTTGAACCCGCCAGCCACTCCACAGGAGAGAGATGGTTCCACCCGCTTCCATGGAGATGACAGTGTTGGAAACCCTTTTCCGCAATTCTACTGTGTCCTAGAGGCTCGGTGTGAGTCAGAACACACCGTGCCCATAGCAGCAGGTTTAATTTTTTAGTGTTTTGGCATCTCACACAGAGATTGGCACATAGTAGCTGCTCAGCCAATGCTTGTTGAAGGACTGGGTGGAGGTAGATGGCTTCTGGTCTAGTCTCAGCCAGGACACCCACTGACCATGTGAATCGGCCTCTCTGTGACTTCAGTTTCCTTGTCCCGTCTGCAAGGCAGGGTTGGGCCCTTGCTGATTCTACATGTGACCCACAGGCCACCTTCCACTACCGGACCCTGCACAGTGACGAGGAAGGCACCGTGTTGGATGACAGCCGGGAGCGAGGCAAACCCATGGAGCTCATCTTGGGCAAGAAGTTCAAGCTGCCCGTGTGGGAGACCATTGTGCGCACCATGCGTCAGGGGGAGATAGCCCAGTTCCTCTGTGATGTCAAGGTACCCAGCCACCCTTGCCTCCTGGGTTTGTCTGTCCTCCCCACCACGCCATAGGCTTGGCCCTAAGCCCCTGCCCTGGCTGGGTTGCCCCCAGGGCCACACTTACCTTCCTGCTGGGGTTTTGGCCTCTCTTCTGCCCTCTTCTGTCCATTAGTCAGACTGCAGCCAGGGTGATGGTGGTTATGTGCCATGGAGTCAGTTCCGACTCATAGCGACCCTGTACAGGGTTTCCGAGGCTGTAAATCTTTATGGGAGCAGAAAGCCTCATCTTTCTCCTGTGGAACCACTGGTAGTTTCGAACTGCTGACCCTGAGGTTAACAGCCCAACTTGTTACCACTATGCTACCAGGGAGTCACTCTCAAATGCAGATGTCTCACACAACCCCTTGCTTAAAATGCTCTCGTGCCCTGGGGGTCAGCCCCTTGTACCCTGCAGGCTAGGGTCTGATTCCTGGTCTGACTCTCAGCTGTTGCAGGCCTAGCCCGGTTCACCTCAGGAAAGGTCTGTAGATGGTAGGTGGCTGAGCAGAACATGGGAGAGTAAGGGCTCCCTTAGATGGTCCCATCCCTCCCCCCCAGCTGTTTCCAAGGGAAAGCCAGAGCCAGGGTGTCTGATGGTCCTCTCCTCTGAGGCCCTGAGTCCAGCACTGAGCTAGGCCCTGAGGGGGGTGGGGTGAGGTGAGTGGAGATGAGAAGGAAGAGATGCAGGGAACAGAAGATGATGGGGACCAGCAATGGCGAGGGGCCCGGTGTGTGGGCTGTAGCCCAGGGAGGGGGAGAAGAAGGGAGGGGGAGAAATCCTCGGGCAATAAGGACAGGAGAATGGGGAGGGTGTCAGGATGTGTGTACATACAGGTGCACATGTATGTTGCACATGTGTGCAGGTGTATATATAGTATGTTCTGAGTGTAATTATGTGAGTGTTGTGTGCTCTTGAGAGCAGTGTGTGTGTGTGCACATGTGTGCACGTGTGTGGAAGGTTCTGGGCTTGGTTTGGTAGGAGAAGCACCGGAAAAGAGGCTAAGTGGCCTAGAGACCTTACCCCGGTGTGCTCAGGTTCCCTTCGGGGCCTCGGTGTCCTTTCTCAGCTGGGCCTCGGGCTGGTGAGCAACCGGCCTTCCTGGACTGAGCCCCTGCATCCACTCCCCCTCCTACAGCATGTGGTCCTGTATCCCCTGGTGGCCAAGAGCCTGCGCAACATTGCGGCCGGCAAGGACCCCCTGGAGGGGCAGCGGCACTGCTGTGGCATCGCCCAGATGCACGAGCACAGCTCCCTGGGGCACGCTGACCTGGACGCCCTGCAGCAGAGCCCCAGGCCTCTCATCTTCCACATTGAGATGCTGAAGGTGAACTGGCAGTGGGGGGGGGCCCGCTGGCGTTAGGGAACAAGGGAGTCTGCCTCTGCTGTCTGAGGTCTGTGGCTGAGAAGCTCATCTGGCTTGCGTCCTGGCAGGTGGAAAACCCCGGCGCGTACCAGCAGGACCCGTGGGCTATGACCGATGAGGAGAAGGCCAAGGCGGTGCCTATCATCCACCAGGAGGGCAACCAGCTGTACCGTGAGGGCCACGTGAAGGAGGCCGCCGCCAAGTATTATGACGCCATTGCTTGCCTCAAAAACCTGCAAATGAAGGTGCTGTCTGCTGCTGTGGGTAAGTGGAGCGAGCGGGCCAGGGGGCTGCGGGCTCAACGGCTTTCCTTTCCTTTCCTTTCCCCGGGCCCTTAGGAACAGCCTGGGTCCCCTGACTGGATCGAGCTGGATCAGCAGATCACCCCATTGCTGCTCAACTACTGCCAGTGTAAGCTGGTGGCTGAGGAGTATTATGAAGTGCTGGACCACTGCTCCTCCATCCTCAACAAGTATGACGGTGAGCACCGGGCGCGGGCCGAGCAGCCTCCCCTCACTTACAACTGGGCACTGCGATCAGGAGCTGGCCTTGGCATGTAGTTTCCATTCTGAGCTTTCAGAAGAGTCCTACCAAACACCCCCACCTGTGGCATGGGCCTGAATGGTGTAACGGGATGGGAGGTTGGCATCCTCTGGTTGGGAGGGCTGCTCACATGCTTCCTCCTGCCCACTGGTACCCCCGGCAGACAACATCAAGGCTTACTTCAAGCGGGGCAAGGCCCACGCGGCCGTGTGGAACTCCCAGGAGGCGCAGGCTGACTTTGCCAAGGTGCTGGAGCTGGACCCAGGCCTGGCGCCCATTGTGAGCCGCGAGCTGCGGGCCCTGGAGGCGCGGATCCGGCAGAAGGATGAGGAGGAAAAGGCCCGCTTCCGTGGCATCTTCTCCCACTGACAGTTTCCCTGGCCCACCCTGCCTACCCTGCTGCTGCCAGCACCGCCAGTCTAGCTGCCCCCACTAGATCTCAGTTCTCTGTATAAAGGCCTTATTTATCTCTTTCTGGTCTGCTGGGCTGTTTGCTTGGGAGAGCTGGGGTCATCCCTGGTGGTGTCTCCTGGTTCACAGGTGGGCCTGGGAAATCCAATAATCAGGCTTTTAGACCCAGCTCCCGAGCCATCAGCTCTATGTCCCTGGGCCCTAACACAAGTGAGGACAATGGTCTCTACTGGAGAGGAAGTGGTTCTTGCTGGCCAGGGCTTGGTGCTCAGGGAACCCCGAGTCTTGAAGGGGAACTAGAGCTGGCAGAAGCTAGTGTGCTGACTAGCTGAGGGGCTTCCTGGTGGGGCTGTCTGGGACCTAAGTTGTGTCTGAGGGTGTGAGGTGCAGAGGGTGCTGGGGCAAGGGGCAGAGGTGGTCTGTATGGTTGTGTGATATGGGGGCTGTGGGTCCAAACTGACAGGAAACTTTGGGGCCAGGTCCTGGGGTTGTTCCAGGAAACATGGGGCACTGCATAGGGCCAGGAGGCCTGGGTGGCATGGGCCCTGGGTGTTGGGGCTGTAGGGAGGCTGGGGGATGGGATGGTGTGGTGTGAACAGGCCAAGGGGAAGACATGTTTAGAGGGTGGCTCTGGTGTATCCGGGGCCCTGTTGACCTGTGGCCTGAACCTGTGACAGGGGTGGGAGAAGGAGGGGTTCTGAGGGAGGGGGATAAGAGGGGACATCCAACAGATTGTATAGTAGAGGGATCTCGGCCAGGGGATTGGGCATCAGAGACCCTTGGTGGACAAAGAACCACTAAGGTAACTGCTGGGCAGGTCTCCACCTGGAGCTTGGGTGGGATTCATAGGCCTTCAAACTGGTTCATTCTAGCTTGACCTCAGCTTGAAATTCTCCTTAACACAGAACTCGAAGCAGCCCCAATGGATCAGACAGATTTTCTATGAGCCATAATAAGACCAGGTTGTGACTTTATGTAGAGTCTAGACTTTCAAGTCATGCGCTAACGTCTTGGGTCTGCCACAAGTTACTTAATCTCACTTGACACTTGACTTTTGTTTTTAACATTTTATTATGAATTGAGCGAATGTTTACAGGGCAGATCATCACTTTTACATACAACAAATCATATACTTTGTTTTGATTGTTAAAATCTAGATTCTGATTCAGTGTATGTACCTGGGAGAAACTGGAAGGAACCAGTTCAGAGCCCTGGATGGGAGGAGGGGTCGGTGTCCAAAAGAGGGGCTCTCCCAGTGCAGCCCACACACCCCCACCTCTGATCCCACTGTTCCGTGGCCTCAGCTTCATGGGGCAGGGGTTTTGGTTAGGTGCCATGTCTGGGCCAAGGGTGGGTGACTACCCAGGACCTGAGGTCATGGAGGCCCAGGCCCCCATCTTGGTCCCACCTGACCATCTCTATGACTCTGGGCAGCTTCCTGCCCCTCTGTGCTTCTTCTGTGTCCCCACTGAACCATCAGCTGTGCTTGGCTGCCCTGGGATACCAGGTAGGTGGGCACACAGTGGAATGTAGATGGGTTTAGTTTCGTTGAGGACACACACTGGGAAGGTTCTGGGCCCACACCCACTCCCTCCCCCTCCCTGGGCTGGGTCCCTCACAAGGCAAGGGAGTAACACTGAGGGGCAATTGGATGCAGGGGTGGGGCCAGCAGGCTGGGTGTGGCCGGTGGACGAGGGCCCAGCCTTCACTTTGCAGTTGAGGTGTGAGTAACTAACCCGGGTCTGGTCAGTGTGGCCTCACTCCTCACTGTCCAGCTTGAGGCTAATGCTGCGGGCCTTGCCTCGTGCCAGGGTGGTAGGTGGTGTCCCCGGCCCCTCGCGCTCTGCCTGGCTGGGACCCCTGGAGCGAAGCAGCTGACTCTGTTTACGCAGGAAGTCCACAGGGGCACCCACGCCATAGCTGCTCTTGGCTAAGGCGGCCCTTGGGGGTCCTGAGGGGGCATGAGGGTGAGAACCCGCCTCCAGTTGGCCCAGATGGGCCACGTAGCCGTCTGAGAGGAACTGTAGACAAAAATGGGCAGGTGTGAGGGGACCCCTGGCTTCCGGCCCACATGCAGCTACCCCCTCCCCCCAGGTTTCTGAGGCAGAGTGGGGACAGTGGACAACGGAAGGATAGCTCTGTCTGAGCCAGACTTCCTCCTTAGCGGGGATGAACCCCAGGCTGGGAGCCAGGGTACTGTGGGTTTTACTCCTTATCTGTAAAAAGGGACCTTACAGTGGGAAACGGAGTCCTGGTGTGGTGCTGTGCGTTAATGTGCTGAACTGCAATGTCGGTTTGAGCCACAAGACTGGCGGTTCAAGCTTAATAGCCACTCCTTGGAAATCCTATACAGGGTTGCTATCGGTGGGTACCAACTCGATGGCATTTAACAACAACAACAACAAAGGGGGAAATAACGGCAGCTAACAGCATTGCCCTCATTTTGGCCCAGTTCTGTAGCATCACCTTACCCACTGCCATGGAGTGGCACAGGGTCACAGTGACCCACCCTGTAGGACAGAGGAGAGCTTCTCTGTATGGTGACTCTTGATGGGAACAGCCAGCCTCACCTATCTTTGGTCCTCATGATAAGATGAGGTGTAGTGTAGGCACTGTTACCAGCAGAGGAAAATGAGGCTCAGAATAAGTCAAAGCCAGCACTATGCAGCCAGCACTAGTTACCAGGCTGGGCAGCTGGGCTGTACCTGGCAGTTCCCAGCTCTGCTGGACGCCAGTTCTAGGTAGAGCACAGATGACGAGGCACGTGGGGCTGGCTTGCGAGCCACCTCAGTCATGGGCTCAGGCCCTTACCTGGCACTGTGCTTGCAGCTTCCGCACAGCACGGCCAACGATGAAGGTCTGACCAGGGGGCAGGCCCAACGCTGCGTACACAGCCACGTCTTTGGGAGACCCGTAGCCAGCCACGATGTTCAGCTCCACCTGTGGTGAGGAGAGGCTCGTCAGCACCCAGGGAGGGGGGGGGCCCTGAGGCCAGGGGTGGAGCTAGTAGGGCAGAGGCTGGGCCACAAGTTGTTCCTCCGTGGACCCCCCCAACAAGGCGGGGCCAGTTGGGTTGCTCTCTGTGGCTCCCAAAGCAAGGGGCCACTGAAACCATATGGCCCTCCTGTCCTAAGGATTGGTTGGTTGGTCGCACCCCTCCCCGCAAGGCACCTCCTGCACCAGGCTCTGCAAGAACATGGCCTTCTGGCGCAATGGATCGTGGGTGAGGCCATCGCAGAAGGAGACGACGCCGTGGGGGAAGTTGTGCTGTGACAGCCAGGCCACTACGCGATGCTTCTGCATGTCCGGCCGGCCAGTCACGTACACGATCAGGTAGCCTGAGTCCTGCCAATGCCTGCGGGCAAGACAGCAGTCAGGCTGGGGCTGGGCAGGGTGGCCACACGGGGCTCGTGGGAGGCTCCTACCTGACCACGTCCACGGCGCCGGCGCGCACCTTGGGGTCGCTGCCCATGATTGAGACGCTGGCCGTGAAGGAACCATCGATGCTGAAGACCACGGCCTCCGTGCCGCGGGCCACCACCGTCAAGCAGCATTCAGCATATGTGTGGTCACCCCTGCAGGCCCGGGGCGTCAGAGCGAGGGCGGGGCTCCCATAGAGCCCCCCCCCCCAGAACCTCCCCCTACTCACCTGACCACCATGCGTACAGGGTAGACGCCGATGCCCAGCGCACGCTCAGGCGGCACCGGGAAGGCGAGACGGCCAGAGCTATTAGTGACCTCGGTGCCAAAGTGGATCCACTTGCCGGACAGCGGCTGTGTCATGACGTAGACGTCCACCTGGTGGGGTGGGGAGGGAGCGTCTATGGGAGGGTGTTCCGGGCACCCCAGACTAAGAAGGAGAATGGGGCGGGCCTGTAGTGGGGGTGGGGGGCTGAGCCCAACCGAACCAGAACCCTGCTGAGATAAAGGCTGCAATGGAGGTGGGTCCTGACCTTCTCTCCGGTGAGCGTGACCACGTCCAAGGGCCCGTACATGAAGCGTGCGCTGAGCACCTGGGGGCGTCCCTCGCACACCACCGTGTCGCTGGCCCGGTGGTTGGAAGTGACGTTCTAGCGGGAGGAGAGAGGGTGAAGCCATGGCTGGGGAGATGGTGAGGGGGGAAAATCGGTGTCCGGCGAGGGGGACCAGAATCATAACGAGTGGGATTTTATCCGAGGGAGCGGGGATGCACGCCCATTTGAGAACCCCGATTTATGAGGGGCGCTGGAGTCCCACGGTACAGTTAGCGAGAAAAGGGGTGATGTTGGATAAGGGGTGCTGTGGTGGTGGTATGCCCACTAGGGGGTAGGGCCTGGCTCGGGATTCCCGGGAAGTGGGGCGCATACCCGGATCTTGACCTGTGTGCGCTTGCGCTGCCACTTCTCCCGGGGGAAGGCCGGGCTGTAGATAGACGGCTCCTCACACTCGGCCAGCTGTGGTCGCTCCTTTTCGATCACCTATAGTGGGGGCAGGTGAGGCCATGTGAACGGGGCCCCTGGCTGCCCACCTCACCCCCATTCCCATCTCAACCCCTCACCTGGCGCAGGATGAAAGCCACAACATCAGCCGACTCCCAGTAGCTGGCGTGGAAGAGGTGGGGCAGCGTAACGGTAGGGAAGGCCGTGAGCGCCTCGGGGCAGTACAGCGAGTAGTCAATCCGCTTGGTCCCCCACCAGCGCTCCAGGACTGCACACGGCCACGTGGGCAGTGAGTCTGGTGGCCTCCCGCCCTGTGCAGTCCCCCGTCCCCTGCAGGCCTGGATGCTCAACCCGGTTCTTTGCTGCCTCTGACCCCATGTAGAGCTGACTTACTCTTGACCACCTCACTGGTGGTGCTGGGGGCAGCTGGCTGGGCAGGAGGCTCAGTCCCCAACTCACTGCCTTTCCAGAAGGCACTGCTGGCTGAGGTGGGCGTTGAGGGCACCAACATCTCCAGTTCCTCCAGAAAGAGGGCTGAGTGGGTCTGGAGCGTGTCCGCTGGGAGTGAAGGGGCTGCTGAGGCTGGGCCAGGCCTGCCGCCTGCCTGCCCACCTAACCCCTACACCTCCATCCCTGTCCTGCTGGTCC